TCTGCAACTGGGACACATCCACCTTCTCTTGGGATTTAAACTTGGCTCCCAACACTGTCAGATGCCGCCCTCAAAGGGGGAGAGGTGGGAGATGTTGCCTTTTTCAAGGGCACTTTCCCTCCCAATGCTGCGGAAGTGGTGGGTAACATCCTGGGAATTCTGAAGGGGCAGGGATGGAGGGGGACAAGTTCTCCAGAAAAGGGCAAAGATCTGGCACTGACCTTTATGAAGGGGCATAAGGCCTTAGACGCCCAAAACCGGGGGCATCTAATGCCCTTATGACCCTTGAAAATGGCAGCCCGTCTAGACTAGAGAGCATTTATTGCTATGGCTGTGCTGCAATTTTCCCGCCAGTGGAAATGCAGCTGATCCGCAGTATGGCCCAGACCGCTGCACCAAACAAAATAAGCGACGTACAAAAGGGCTTTTTTGCCATACGAATGTGTCTACCTACATTTGGGCTTTAGCCGGCAGTGCTGTCAGTTACAGGAGGGATTCCTTCACCCTCCTGACTTAACAATGCCAACAAAACTTAAGGGTAGACCGGGCCTGCGTGAAGTGAGCCAGTTTGGTGGGGGAAAAGGTAATTAAGAACATAAGAGCGGCCATACTGGGTCAGACCAAAGGTCCTTCCAGCCCAGTACCCTGTCTGCCCACAGTGGCCAATGCCAGGTGTCCCAGAGGGAGTGAATCGAACAGATAATGATCAAGCGATCTCTCTCCTGCTATCCGTCTCCACCCTCTGACAAACAGAGGCTAGGGACACTATTCCTTACCCATCCTGGCTAATAGCCATTAATGGACTTAACCTCCAGGAATTTATCTAGTTCTCTTTTAAACCCTGTTATAGTCCTAGCCTTCACAACCTCCTTAGGCAAGGAGTTCCACAGATTGACTATGCGCTGTGTGAAGAAGAATTTCCTTTTATTTGTTTTAAACCTGCTGCCCATTAGTTTCATTTGGTGGCCCCTAGTTCTTATATTATGGGAACAAATAAATAACGTTTCCTTATTCACTTTCTCCTCACCACTCATGATTTTATAGACCTCTATCATATCCCCCCTCAGTCTCCTCTTTTTCAAGCTAAAAAGTCCTAGTCTCTTTAATCTCTCCTTATATGGGACTTGTTCCAAACCCCTAATCATTTTAGTTGCCCTTCTCTAAACTTTTCTAATGCCAGTATATCTTTTTAGTGATGAGGCGACCACATCTGTACGCAGTATTCAAGATGTGGGTGTACCATGGATTTATATAAGGGCAATAAGATATTCTCTGTGGGTATGTCTACACTACCCTCCTAATTCGAACTAGGAGGGTAATGTAGGCATACCGCACTTGCAAATGAAGCCCGGGATTTGAATTTCCCGGGCTTCATTTGCATAAGCCGGGCGCCGCCATTTTTAAATCCCGGCTGGTTCGAACCCTGTGCCGCGCGGCTACCCGTGGCACGAACTAGGTAGTTCGGACTCGGCTTCCTAGTTCGAACTACCGTTACTCCTCATTCCACGAGGAGTAACGGTAGTTCAAACGGTCCTACCTCAGTACAGGGAAAAGACTTAATGATTGCTTGAGGATCTTGTAAACTAGATCTTCTTCCCAAAGAAATAATTCATTCTTGGTGTATCTCAGTGACTTTAAAAGAATTATACTAAAAATCGTATCCCTCAGTCCTTCTTTCTTGCTACCTTTGGGTATGTCTACACTACCCCGCTAGTTCGAACTAGCGGGGGTAATGTAGTCATCCGCAGTTGCAAATGAAGCCCGGGATTTGAATTTCCCGGGCTTCATTTGCATGAAGCCGGCCGGCGCCATTTTTAAATGCCAGCTAGTTCGAACCCGGTGCCGCGCGGCTACACACGGCACGATGTAGCTAGTTCGGATTAGGCTTCTAATCCAAACTAGCTGTACTCCTCGTGGAAGCCTAATCCGAACTAGCTACTCCGTGCCGCGTGTAGCCGCATGGCACGGGGTTCGAACTAGCCGGCATTTAAAAATGGCGCCGGCCGGCTTCATGCAAATGAAGCCCGGGAAATTCAAATCCCAGGCTTCATTTGCAACTGCGAATGACTACATTACCCCCGCTAGTTTGAACTAGCGGGGTAGTGTAGACTTACCCTCTCCCTTTTTTAATGATTCCTAACATCCTGTTCGTTTTTTTGACTGCCGCTGTGCACTGAGTGGATGTCTTCAGAGAACTATCCACGATGACTCTGGAAGGAAAAATAAAAAGCGAAACCAGGTAGAGCCTTGCGGGGTATTTTAAAGTCAGTCAAACTCTTTCAGCAGCCTGATGAGGAACCTCCTGCCTCTTTTGCAGCTCTTCATTTTGCCAGCGGATGGGGCGTATGAATTTACTTTTTTGAAAAGACGAGTTGTTGAGGCAACAGGGCCCTTTTGGCAACACACTCCGGGCTTTCTGAGGAAAAAAATTCATCTTTTGTCATCTTGACCCTACCTCAAAGTCAAGGAGTGAGTTGCCCATAATAACAACCGCCTGGATACGTCAGCTTGCAGTCAGACCTCTCGAGTTCACTGACCCTTCTTTGGAGCCTTGAATCTGGATTAAAACCTATGTTCAGGCAAAGGATTAACGAGAAGTGACTTTCCCACAAGGGGCTGACATCAGGGTTTTGGCTAAGAACATGGGGGAGGATGTTATGACTCTTTATGCAGTGTACTCAGCGTTCGTACAGTCCTGCGAATGACCTTTATTTCAGAAGTCATAGCACTTGGGGATGGAGTTCAGAGCAATCAGAAAAGAATTTCACAGCCCTGTAGCCTGGTTAAAGGCCCGGGTACCCCCCCTCCCCCCTCCTGCCCCGCCATGCCCCAAACAAAAAATGCCAAAGCAGGAACTAGACTCTGGTGGAGAGGGGCCAATGGGGCACCTTAAGAACTCAAATGCAGATCTGAATTCTACAGCTGGCCTCCGGACTCTATGGTGAACTGCCCTCAAACCCTGCTCCCCAAACTCTGGGAAAGCCTGGATCCAGATTCAAACCCAGTTCAAGTAGAACAGGGATTTGACCATCCCAGCAGCTGAGCACCGCCTGTGTGGCAGGAGGCATCGTTGCTTCCCACGGACGGACGTCGAAGGGAGGTGGGGCGCTCAGCATTTCACAGGAGGGGGTGCCAGCTGCAGCTTGAAATGTCCCCATAAATGCCCGCTCCCCTTCAAGGCCCCTTGAAAAATTCGTTTTGTCCCTTAATAGAGGGCTGTAGCTCCTGTCCCTGTTATTCAGATGCGGGAAAGTATTAATCTCTCTCAGTATAAAAAAATGTTTTCCCTGTGGGACGACAGAGTGATGTCATCACGTCAATCTGTGTCCTGCCTGCCCCCTCCCTACCTCCCCCCTTTCCCCTCCCCTTTCCCCAGCGCTCAGCAACCGGGTCCTGCCCCAGGGCTGGGAGGAAGGGCGGAGGAGAGCAAGGGCTGGGCTGACCTCGGCCCAGCGCCTGGGGGACGAGGGGGCAGGCCAGGGCTGCTACACTTGGCCTGGCCCTCCTGGTAGCTGGAGGGAAAGCCAGGGCCGTCTACCCCCAGAGAGAGGGGGGTTGGTGGGTGTAGGAAGCAGGGGCACAGCCCCCTAGGAAACTCTAAAAATGAAAATGCCTTAAATAAAAAAGGAACATTATTTCTAGGGGTATGTCTACACTACCACCCTAGTTCGAACTAGGGTGGTAATGTAGGCAACCGGAGTTGCAAATGAAGCCCGGGATTTGAATTTCCCGGGCTTCATTTGCATAAAGCCGGGCGCCGCCATTTGTAAATGTCCGCTAGTGCCGACTCCGTGCCGTGCGGCTACACGCGGCACGGACTAGGTAGTTCAGACTAGGAAGCCTTGACCCTACCTCATGAACCTAGGAAGCCTAGTCCGAACTACCTAGTCCGTGCCGCGTGAAGCCGCGTGGCACGGAGTCCGCACTAGCGGACATTTAAAAATGGCGGCGCCCGGCTTTATGCAAATGAAGCCCGGGAAATTCAAATCCCGGGCTTCATTTGCAACTCCGGTTGCCTACATTACCACCCTAGTTCGAACTAGGGTGGTAGTGTAGACATACCCTAGGGGAAGTTACTCCCCTTCTTAATATGGGTTTGTACAGCACCTAGCACCCTGAGGTTTCGGTTCATGATTGGGCCCTTCTGAGGTGATATGCCAACACAAATCACCATCACCGGCGTACCCCGTAAGCTGAGAGCTTAGGTGGCCGCTCAGGAGAGACTTAAATGCCTCCCAGCTGATTGGCAGCACGGCCACAGTCTCCCACAGCTGGCAGCATCCGCATATGCCTTGGTGCACAAAACAAAATGTATTCCGCACATGGATGGAAAAAATGAGAGAGGATATTAAGAGTTCAAGCAGAGAAATACAGGAAGAGAAGGGAAACTTGGCTGGGTGGCAGGAACAAGAAAGCCTACGACAGAGTAGTGAAAGACAGTGAGCTGAATGCTTCTCGCACCCGCTCGCTCAGCAACAGTCTGAAAAGCACCTGGCAAAAAAAAAATCCACTTTCAAGGTCAGCAAAAAAGTTCAATTGTTCAGTAAAAATATTCAAACCCAAACAAAACTTTTATTCCAATTGTTTTTGCCTTTTGCTGAAAAATCTAATGGATGCTGGCAAAACTAAACGTTTCAACCACACAAGATTTCAGCCGCCTCTCGCAATCAAACTTCCAGGCTTACGGCTCAGCTCAAACACCGAGTATAAAACCGAATGGCCCAGGGTGCCTTCCAGCGAATCCCAGTTGGCCTCTACAGGAATCCTAGAACACTAGATCTGGAAGGGACTTAGAGAGGTCATCAAGTCCAGGCCCCTGCCCTCACGGCAGGACCAAGCACCCTACATCCCTGACAGGTGTCTGTCCAACCTGCTCTCAAATATCTCCAGTGGCCACCCCAGCTATCAGGCCGGTTCCCTGACACATCCAGGTGTGTACAACACCCCAGTGTCTCCCCTCCCCCCTCGCATAACGACAGGAAAAAATCCGGAGTTCTTACGCGCTTCGTTTCAGGTACCAGGTCGTCCTTCATCCGTCGTTTGGTCCAGTCTTTGGCCAGCTCATCCTCAGCGATCTCCTGCAGGTGGAAGACGGCTACTTGGGCTGACGTGCGCCGGATTCTGCCACTAGGAGTCCTTTCAAAATCTTCTACGGGGCTGGCCTCCGGCTTGACCTCTGGCTCTTCCAGCGGCTGAAATATAGAAATGGCGAAGAAAGAGAATGGCTAACGGCTGGAGCGCAGCTAGAGCGCACTCCCTCCCACTAGTGGCAGAATCCCTCCGCAACAGAGCTCGCAGTCTTAACTTCCGGGGGAGCTGGTCTTTTAACCCAAGCCCTGTCCCCACATATGTCAGCGTCTCAGGCTGTGTTTAGACTACATCCTTCCTTCGAAAGAGGGATGTATACGAGCCCGATCGAAAGTGCAAATGAAGCACAGATTTAAATATCCTGCACTTCATTTGCATATTCACGTCCAATCTCCGTTTCAAAAAGGGTATTTCAAAAGTGAAACCGTGGTCTAGACATGGTTCTTTCGACTCGGGAACTTTTCCCACCTCTCCAGCCTAAGTTTCAAGAAGTCAGGGATGGTTTGGGCTTCAATGAGACAACAGTTTCCTGCTGCCCTCTGAACATAACACAGGTGAGGGAGAGTGTGCGTGGGGGTGTGTGCGCGCATGCGTGCACACTGATCATGTTGTCTGTGAATGTGATCAAAGATGCAGGCTTTCACCCTCAGCCTCGTGCGTGGGTCTCACCGTAGACGTGTGCTCCGACCGCACGTGGTAGTCATGTCCCGCCTTGGATTTGTACTTCTTCCCGCAGTGTGGGCAGCTGAATATGGGCTTCTCCACTTCAGAGGGCTGCTTCCCACACCGTTTCTGGTGGTACTGGTACCCCATCAGGCTGGAGAAGTTGGCCGTGCAGCCCTTTGGTGGTGAGGACAAGAGGGTTAAGGTGAGGCGTTCACTGCCCTCGGATGCGCACAGGTTGAAAGGGTCATAGGATCATCACACCAACATTTCAAGGAGGCATCATCCACCGGGCTGTTCTGCACCTCCATGGCATGGACCCTGAACATCCTCCTTTAACTCACAGGGGAGATGAGAACCACAGGGCAGCTGCACCAGGCCCACAACCTCTCCCCAGAAAGTCTAGGAGGTTTCTTACCATGCCCTTCATTTTGCACAAGGATTCTGTGCCCCAAACGCATTCTGCTCACGGCCCTGGAATGGAGCAGACATTCCTCGCTTTCTGGGGAATCCATCCTAGTTTCTGGGGGCACTGGTACCCCATCCGGCTGGAGATGTTGGCCATGCAGCCAACTTCCCCAAGATCTCAGCTCTGCTAGCTGGCGCGCTCTCCCTCCCACGCCATTTGGTACCATCCGCCAAACCTGCCCAGGAATAATTATGAGACTGGGGTTCAGAGAAACCGGGGTTCTCCAGTTGTTTAGTGCACACACAATTAACGGTGCCTGCCCAATGGACACCTTCACTCCAGAACATCCTCCAGACATCACATTTAACCTCAGACAAGCAGAAACAGAGGGGAGGAGGCTAGTTTGGGCTTGACTGGGCCACCTGTAGCACTTTGGCACCCAAAGGCGAGGACTCTCAGAACCAAGTATGACAGACCAAGTGAAACGTGTCCTCTGGGGGTGGAGAGAACAGCTGCTCATGGGAGCCAACCAGCAGAATTGGGCAAACCATTCATGGCCCGTTACTTTGGCCCTTTACCTGCTCCCAACGTGCTTGTAAATGGCTCCCTGTCCCTGTCACTTGCAGCAAGTCACTGAAGAACTTCAGGGACTCGTCACTCTTGCCCTGGAGTTTGCTCCAGCTTCCCCCGGGACTGATTAGATACGACTGGGCGCGTCGGCCCACGTGCGTTACATTTCTGGTCCCCGATGGGAGGAGACTCCTCCCTCTGGGCAGATACTTGAGTATTCCAGCTGGGATTTCTCTTTCTGTGAATATTCCTCCACCTCCCCCGCTTCCATGGTCATTCTGCCAGGAACCATCTCGGAGGGCTCACGCTCCAAGGGGGAGCGGAGCTGAGCTGCGGCAAATTCATTTTAAACTAAGAGACGCTGCGCTACAGTCTCTGTCCATCTCCGGATCTGGGCTCTTTATTCCTTTCATCCCTTTGCAGAGCCATAGACAGGAATTGTGCTTGTACCTCATTGGGGCATTTCAGCTTCCCCATCTGCTTTAGCACTTTCCTGAAGGGCTCACGCTCCAAGGGGGAGCGGAGCTGAGCTGCGGCAAATTCATTTTAAACTAAGAGACGCTGCGCTACAGTCTCTGTCCATCTCCGGATCTGGGCTCTTTATTCCTTTCATCCCTTTGCAGAGCCATAGACAGGAATTGTGCTTGTACCTCATTGGGGCATTTCAGCTTCCCCATCTGCTTTAGCACTTTCCTGAACCTTTCCCGAAGCGACAGAGTCAGCCATTCACTCGTGTCCTCTGTGCCCTGAGAATGGCCACAAACTTCGGCCCCCAGGGAGTTCCCTCCCCGTCAACTCCTAGAGGAGCGTCTCGGGTTGGAAATTGTGAGCTGGCTTTTCCATCGTTTCAAGGCACACAAATGCCCTGGGAGTCCCTTGCCTAAGTTGTCTATACAGTGTTTGCAAGCCAACGGCGAATCTGAAAATCCACACGCAACTCGTAAGTGAAAACACCCTGCTCCGAAAACAGAGCACAGGAGACTCATTCACCACAAAAAGGCAAGTTGGACTTGATAAACTCGGGCTATGAAGAAAATACGATGAGGCCTTGTCCTGGCCTCTCAGACATGTACACGACCAGATTTTTAAGATGGTATCATGAGCTTTCGTGGGCACAGACCACTTCTTCAGATGACTCTGGTCATCTGAAGTGGGCTGTGCCCACGAAAGCTCATGATCCCATCTACATGTTTTGTTCGTCTAGACCGTGCTACCAGCCAGACTAACTCGGCTACCTGCTGAGGTTTCCAGATTTTTAAGAATGGCCTAAAAAAGGGGGCACCCGCCAGCTTTGGGGTGCACACATACGTTCAACGGCAAACCGCCTCGCTGCATGCACTGGCTAGACTTTGTGGGAGGTTAAACGTGATTCCTGAAACTGCAAGCCCAATTTTGGAGTCAGAGTTTAGGCGCTTTGGAAAATTTGGCTCATTGAGTGTTCCTCCATTGTGTAATGTTAGTCTTTGCTGGCCATGCCCTGACTCACTGAGTCCAGTGGGTGTCCTTCCTGTGCACGTGGATAGAGGCTGTGTGTTAAGGACTGGTAGTCTTTGCCCAGGGGAGGGCCAGGGCAGGAGAAGGAGGGTGCATTGCCAGTCTGGATTGAGGTACATGGTAGGCGCTGTATGTGGGATGCTGGAAAGCCAAAGCTTCAGGTCCCTTGTTTTCATCCGCATCAAATGTCCCATTTCCAAAAAACCCCAAACTGTTTATCCATCTTCTTCCCTGCCTCTCCCGGCGCAAGCCGCCGAGCAGAAGCTGGAGACCGGCGCGCACTCTGGGAACTCTTACCTTGTTGACGTGCTCAGCCATGGTGTGGTAGTTGAGCCCAGCTTTGGACTTGAACTGCTTTTTGCAGCGCTGACATTTCAAGGCATCCTGCAGCTGAACAAAGTAAAGGGGAGTCACCACGCCGGCCTGTTCATGTTCCTTTTCCCAGGGTGCCTTCTGTCTCAACCAGCACTCGTCGGGCCCGCGGAAGTGTAGGTGCGGGGAGAGGGTTTGGGAAGCTGCAGCACCCCTGGGTTTTGCACCTGGCTTCTCCACACCTTGGGCCCGGCCCTGCTGCCAGCAACTCCCGCCCTGAGTCTCAGCCTTTGAGCAGCCCCTGCAGGGTCCTGCCAGCCCCACACACTTTGCTGGCCTCTTGGGGTCCTGCCAGCCCTGACGGCACTCCGGGTCTCGCTACTCATTGGCTCTGTCATGGACAATCACCCTTGGACCCCGTGGGCTCTACCGATCCCACCAGCCCCAGGGTTCTGCTGCTGGCCCAGCTGTGGGTTGCAGCCACGGAGTCTGGTCTGCCTAGTCCAGGAGAGTTGGCAACTTGATTTCAACAGGGCTAAGCAGGGGAGGGAGGATGATGAAGCTCAACATCCCCATCCCAAAAATAGTTCCAGCTACCACTGCTGTGAAAGCTGATGAATGGACCTGAACCAGAACCTCAGATCAGAACCCATGGGATGAGGTTTACCGGGGAGGTCAACAAATGCCTTTGATGTCGACTGCGGAGTGTCCAGACTACCACGCTGTTCCGCCAAACAGCTGATCAGCACAGCGCAGCAGCCATTTTAATTTAAATGTACCGGCGATTATTTAAATCTCCACTTCATTTCCCTTTGCCGAGTAAACAAATCTACATGGCTCCGTCGACGGAGCCATGTAGTCTAGACATGCCCTCTCTGAATTAGATTTAGTGGGTCTTCACTAGACCTGCTAAATCAAACCCCGGAAGATCAACAGCGGCAGCGTCGATCTTCTGTCTGGTGTAGACATAATCTTAGAGCTTGTACGCAGCAAATATCTGTAATCAGGAATGTGGAATGCAGATATCTGTAATCAGTTACAGAAATGTCACTGAGATTTCATCACCAGACCAGCTTCCTGCAACAGGGCCTGTTTAAAAAGGCATTGAAAAGGAGCTATGCGCATTGTAACAGCTAACCTGCAGATGGACAAGCAGAATTTGCAAGTGATCAAGCACATATTGATGGCCACTGAGGTGAATATCGAGATGCATTGACCCCAGAGGCAAATATGCACCGCAGTGAACCCTGAGACAACAAATCCAGATAGCCACCAAAACAAGAAGTCAATGCATGTCGTCGTTCCAGTCATTCCAACAGCTAACCCAGTGGTTCTCAAACTTTTTGGCCCGTGGCCCATCCCTCTCAATGCAAACCTTTTCATGGACCACGAGTCAACCATCCATGATGCCAAAATGGGTGCAGAAGGGGATTGGGGTGTGAGGTGTGGGAGGGAGGGTGCAGAAGCAGGCTGAGAGCGGGGGTCTTGGTGGGACGGAGGGTGCAGGAGTGGGTTGGGGGTGTGAGAGGAAGGGAGGGGTGCAGGAGCTGGGTGGGGGTGTGGTGTCTCGGTGGGATGGTGTGTGTGAGGGGTATAGGGGTAGAATCTAGGCATGAGAGAGATGGGAGGTGGTTACCTGGCTAGGTGCCCCCTGCTGCTCCCATTGGCCATGATTCTGGCCAATGGGAGCAGTGGGGAAAGCCCTTGTGGCTACAGGAAATGGGTTTGACTCAGAGCAGGCCCAGTCTCCACCAGGGACTAGCGAGCTAGGGTTAGGGGAGCAGAAAGCAGCTTTTGCCCCTCTATCGTGAGCTGAGCTCCTCGGCCACGGCTGAAGATCTGGGTCTATAATCCCAGTGGGGCAGGTTTTGCTCACAGTGGAAATAGGGTTGCCAACTCTCCCAGACTGCACACCATTGCCACGAAGGGCGTCCGGTCCGTCGCTGGGCAACCCTACGTGGAAAGCATGGAGAAGCTTTGTAAGCTCCAAGCTGATCTCTTCCACCAAAAGAAGCTGGTCTAATAAAAGATATTGCCCCGTGATATTACTCCCCTCACCCGTGTCTCTAAAATATCCTGGGACAATGCCTAAGGTCTCCTATGGCAGCAATATCTCATATAAAAAGAGTCCTATCAGTGAGGTACAGGGGAGGGATATTTAAAACGGTTGATAATGTAACCGTGTAACCGTTAAAAACCCGTCTCAGTGGTTTCACTTTGCAGGCTCTGCAGAATAAGGCTCATACTGCAGAGCCCGCAGCAGAGCTGGCTCCCCGGGAGCAGGGCCAATAGTCAGTGAGTGCTGAGAGCTGGCTCCTTGCTGCCGGCCCCACTCCCAGGGAGCTGGCTGCACGGGGAACAGCCAGCTTCCCAGGAGCAGGGTTGGCCACCGGAGCCAGTGCATGGGTGGAGTCAGCTTAGTAGTGCATCAGCTGCCAGCCCCACTCCTGGGGAGTTGGCTGCCACTCTGCTCTGCAGACTCTGCTACAGAGCCAGCAGCATGGGGCGGCAGCCAGCTTCCCAGGAACCGGCTTATAAGATGGCTCCCAGTGCACACTGGCTCCTGGCGAGCCAGCTGCTGCCCCAGGCTGCAGGCTCGGATACAAAGCCAGCAGCACGGGATGGCAGCTGGCTCCCCGGAAGTGGGCCCGGGAATTGGCGTGTAACCGTTTTGGAAACCTGTAAGCTCATGCTTATCCATTAACTGTTTAAACAGAATGGGTGCGTCTACACTGCGCCCTTAGCTGGAAATAAGTTAAGCAAACTGAGCTATGCAAACCGCATAGCTTATTTTGCATTAATTTCGAAATAGAGCATTATTCCGAAACATCCTTTAATCCTTGTGGAACGAGGTTTACAGGACGTCAGAATAGCACGCTATTTCAAAAGCTATTTCTAAATAACGGGTGTGCTGTCAAGACACGGAAAATGCTATTTAGGGATTCTGGAAGTATCCCGAAATAGAGCCACTGTCTAGATGCTCCCTTAAACTCCGACATCCCTTGTCCAGAGTGTATGTTTACCTATTTTTTAAAATACAATTTCAGTCGAGACGGGATATTTTCTGAGTGATGTGCGTGACCACAACCACAATTTCTTGGGCTCAGTGCATGAATATTCCACTGTGAAACGCTCCGGGCGGGCGGTATTATGGGCAGGCAGTCAGATCTGATGATCACATTGGGCACGTATGGCTTTACAAATCTATAAATTTAGCCTCTGGAAATAAAAGACGGAGAAGCCAGCCTGAAGCACCTTGCCACCTCTGTGGAGACAACCAGCAGGGGCTCCCCATCCCACAGCCTGAGTTTTCGCAAGCACCAATATCAGTTAGGGAAGATTCATTATTAATTAAGACATGGGAGGAAGGACGGTCCAGTGGCGAAGCACCAGCCTAAGACTGGAGAGTCTCATATTCAATTCACGCCCTGCCACAGACCGTCAAGTCCCTCAGCCTCTCTGTGCCTCAGTGTCCCCATCCCCGTGCAATGGGGACAATGCCATCGCTCTGTCTCATAGGGGTATTGTGAGGGTTAATCCATTAATGACCGTGAAGCGCTCTGATGGCTACGGATGGAAAGAGCTGCAAAAAAGCTTGGTAATCATTATTATGGTTAATAATAATTTAATTCTAGGATGTGCACATTTCTTCTCCGGCAGAATAAATCAGCTACACTTGAACAGTGCGAAGTGCCTACTTTTTGACAGACGTCCATGTGCTTTCTGAGCCCAACAATGGTTTTCCGGGTTATAACGCCACATGTAGGACAGGCAATTTCTCCTTTCTCGTTGATCTCCCGCTGCCACTGATCCTCTGGGTTTGCTAGAGGCAGAAGAAAGGCAAAACAAGGAAAGGGTTGGTACTAGAGGGACAAATATTGTTTTCCCCCCGAGGAAAGCCCTTTCCAGGATTCAGGAGCAGGAGAAATATCGAGGTTCAACAGGTTGGAAATCACTAACATTGCCAAATGCAACAAATCATTCAGAGAAAAAAAAACCATCCAAATTGCAAACCACATTTCCCAAATTATAGGTTCAAAAATCCATGTGCAGTCGGGTGACTAATTTGCACAAATCATTATTGCAATGCCTCAGGCCAAGTGGGCGCTTGCACACCGTCATTTGATGACTATTTTTGTGCTCTGGGAGGTGGTGGCAGGGGGTAGGGGTGGGGTGGGGAACGCATTTCCAATAGCCAGCTCTGTTGGGACATTTCTGCACTTGGAAAGTTCACGTGCCAGAATGTCCCTGTGTCATGCGTGGAGTCAGGTTGCCAAGCAGGGGGGTCCACAGACTTCCCAGGCCCCTGGGCAAGGTGTGTGTGTGGTCTGGCTCTGTGCTCCTAAAAGAGGAGGAGCTTTGGCCAGCCCATAGCCCCGCCCAGTCCCTCCCCATAGGCAGCCTTCAGAACTGCCCAGAACACCCTGCTCCAGAGGGAATTTCAGAAGGGCCCGGGGCCTCTGGCCGCCACTGCGCCAGGCCCCGGGGCAACCACTCTCTTTGCCCCCCACTCCCATGATTGCAATGGGGTTTACACCCTGCATGCGGAGCATGGGCAGAAGGGGGAAGAGATCAGATGCCAGACTTGCCAATCATGGAGACCCATAAGGAAAACAAGCCCAGCTCTACAGGAAGCAGAATAGGAAGATGAGGATCGGAGGGGGCAGGGGAGGTCACAAAAAGCCTGGGAAAGCACCATGAAAAGCCTGGGATAGCTCCAGGCTGCCTCTAAGAACTGGAGAGGGAGACAAATTAAAACTGTAAGCCCTGGAATTTAAGAGCTGACTTGTTTTGGGTTACATTGGGAGACTACTATCATGTCCCCCAGAGGCAGACCGGCTACAGAGCTTGTGTAACTGCCACCAGGTGGATATGAACCTAGGCCCTCTGGAGCTTAGTGTAGGAGCCTCTACAGCTTGCGCTATAAAGCCAGCTGCTTCTCAGCTTAGGCTGTAGCGCTCCCTTGTTCTTCTCTCTCGCTGTGAGCGGTCTAAGTGCTTGGTGTGTGGGTTACACTTGCTCAGGTGTACCAGGCGTGATCCTCACCAGACCCTTGTCATGCGCTGCCAGGAATGGCTGAGGCTTGGTTAAATGAGGTATTTTCCACCCAGCCCTACTCTGGGTATGTCTAGACTGCACTCTAAAATCGAAATAAGATATGCAATTTGTGCTATGCAAATTGGTTACCTCATTTTGATTTTACTGCGAAATAGGCTATTTTTAAAGGTGGTGAGTCTACATGGCACCAAATTTCAAAATAAAGCACTGTTTCGAGACATTGCTTATTCCTCGTGGAACGAGGTTTACAGGGATGCTGAAATAGTGCGTCCTTTATTTTTAAAATTATTTTGAAACAGTGGACGCATTCCTTGGATGCGGGGTAGCTATTTTGAGATACCAGAGGTATCCCGAAATAGACTTGCAGTCTAGACGTGTCCCTAATGGCTGAACAGTATAATACAGGGTAGCATTTCACTACCTCTACCCCGTCTGTCCTACCATTTCCCATTGTGACTCTAGCCTGCTGCCTTTGAAGTTCAGTATGGCTCAGTCCATTGCATGTTGCAGAATCATCCTGGTTTTCGAATTACATGACCCAAAAGGGTAAGCACTTGTTCATCTGGCTGTCCATTCTTCTGGTTCTGCATCTGCCGTCTCTCCGTCTGCATTGCTGCTCTGCGCTGTTCTTTCCAAGGAGCAAACCACAGACATCAATGGTTTCTGTCAACTCTTCACTGCTGGTCTTCATCCCATACGATCGAAGGTTTTCTTGGAGACCTCCAGAGTTGCCCATCCTTTTCCAACATCCAATTCAACACGAACCCAGGTATCGGGTTCTAGATGTGCCATTCACTGAGTGACATCCACTGTAGAAGTGGTCATAAGCTTTTATCCGATTTGGTTACTTTCTTCGGCTGTGTCTACACTGGGCCACTTATTCCGGAAAAGCAGCCGCTTTTCCGGAATAACTTGCCAGCTGTCTACACTGGCTGCTTGCTTTTCCGGAAAAGTAATGACAATCTACTGTAAAATTGTCAGTGTTTTTCTGGAAAAACTATGCTGCTCCCGTTTGGGCAAAGTCCTTTTCCGGAAAAACTGTTCCGGAAAAGGGCCAGTGTAGACAGCACAGTAGTCTTTTCCGCAAAAAAGCCCCGATCGCGAAAATGACGATCCGGGCTTTTTTCCGGAAAAGCGCATCTACATTGGCCACGGACGCTTTTCCGGAAAAAATGCTTTTCCGGAAAAGCATCCTGCCAATGTAGACGTGCTTTTTCTGGAAATACTTATAACGGAAAACTGTTCCGTTTTAAGCATTTCCAGAAAAGGGTGCCAGTGTAGACCATGTCTGGCCACTTTGGAGATAGGTTCCCCACCCCAAAGTTGGAAGACTACTTCTGTGAAGCCTTCCTGTTGTATGGACTAGATCCAGTAGCTGCTAGCCGCATTGATCTAGGACTCAGAAGAGCAAGAATGCGTCTTCCTGTACAGCTCTCACACATCTCCACTTGGGGGTTATATCAGCTGCCACTAATAGTATCAAAATCATATGTTGTTTGGGATGTCTTAAATTCTGCTGCTGTGCACTGTGATCCACTGTCTGTCATCGGTTACTCTGGAATTCGGACGTGAACAAAAGGGCACTCCTGTTTCTCGGTGACAGAGTAACATTATGTCTTTCCAGTACATTATTTCGTTAGATCTGAGAAAAAAGCCCACAAGCACCAGCTAAATATGTCCTCTGAATCCACATAAATCTGCAGCGAGGTCTCTCAGGTAAAGGAGTCTGTTCACAGTACGGCTCAGGATCGTCTCATGTTCATTTTGAACTGGATCTCCTTTCAGAAGGCCAGGACCAACACACGCTCCGTAGAGTCCTTCCCTGAGGCTCATCATGGCCGCTACGCTTCGGCTGAGGCGGTTGTTGGCCTTTGACCCCCCACACACTCTGAAGGCAAAGTGTTTGTAAATGATTTCTCTGATGAACTTGCCTCTGCAGGTCAGAATCCCCGCAGGGCTAGCTGGAGCTGAGCCAGGCCATTGCAGGCTGAAGGTGATTGTAGCTCCTTTCTGAGGAGACTGTAACATCAGCTCCCGAGTTCATGTGAATGTCGATTGTTCTGCTGTGACTATTCTGACCGTTTTGTTATCTGAATAGCTGAGGTGAAGTTTAACTCTCTCTTCAACTGTAGCTGCTGTGAAAGGTTTTTCCCCGTTAACCCAATAATCGGTTAGTAAGTGAGTGGCTGCCCCATTCTGGCTAGAAAGGGTTAAAAGAGGTCGGAGGGAGCCCACGCAGAGTTCCAGCCTATCAGGCAGGGGCTTATAAGAAGCCAATCAGAGAGTGGCTGGCTAGAGCAGCCCTGTTTATAAGGAGCTGCTCAGCAGAGCAGTGAGGAGTTGGGTCCTGACCAGGGAGGGGGCAGGTTTGGTTCCCCTGAGAGAAAGCTCCTTGCACAGAGCAGTGCTGGGCAGGTTCAGGGGATAGGGAACAGCTCCGGCCTGATACCCGTGGTTTTGATACAAGGGCTGAGAAGGTGCAAGGGGTCCCGGGCAAGTGGGAGGCAGTAAAGGGAGGAGGAGGGCAGGACAAGGCTGCCACCAGATGGTCCTTGGGACAGAGTAGTGGGCAGGCCTGGGTCCCCTTCCCTTTTTGCACTGCACCTAGCCACCCTGAAGAGTGGCCTTTATGGACTGTGGCTGCCCTGGAGGTGAGGGGCAAGACTGAGGCTGCAGCTGGCCACCGTGGCAGGCATGAGACTGAGGATGCCGATACCCCCGGAAGGGGGACGAGAGACCAGTGTGGTGGACGCGGCTGGAGGGCAGTGTCCTGAAGAGGACGCTGTGATCCTGGGAGTCACGTGGGTCCAGAAGCAGAGGGTGGAGAGAGCACAGAGCAATGACAGGCGAGAAGGGGGCGCCCTGCTGAGGACTGAGCTAATTCCCAGAGCAACCAGCAGGAAGTGCCATGGTGGCGAGTCTTGACTCCGTTACAGCCTCTCTCTGGGTATGTCTACACTGCCACCGTAGTTCGAACTGCAAGGAGGTTTAACAGTAGTTCTCATTAGGAGCTTTAATTCGAACTACCTAGTCCATGCCACGTGTAGCCGCAGGCAGGGAGGTCGAAGCCCGGGAACATGCAAATGAAGCCTGGGATATTTAAATCCCGGGCTTCATTTGCAAGTTCGAATGCCTACATTAGCCACCCTAGTTCGAACTAGGGTGGCAGCGTAGACATACCCTCTGATGGTCTCATATTTTGCATCCTCACAATCTCAATTTTCAGCCAATGTATGTAGAGCTCTTCTAAAGCGTTCAACGTTTCCCTTCGGCTCTCAAAATGTCTGGTGAAAACACGCCCTTTCATACAACACACAGCAACGAGGTACAAAGTCTGCCTCAAATACGGGCCGAATCCTTTCCTAGACTTCTTTGTGACTGTCTTCAGTAAAGTCAAATGATTGAAAGATAAGCTCTGCCCGTTTCCCCATGGCATTAATTAAAGAAGATACCCGTGCATCTCCAGTTTCTTTGCAGACTTTGTTTGCCATTCAAAATCTTGGAACACACTCCTTCCACTCTGTCCACTGTGAAGGCCTATCTGAACTGAAATTCTATGGAGGCTACTTTAATGAGATCTTGCAACCTTTGTAGCATTGTTTCTTCTCTTTCTGATCTTAGTTTACTCCTGATACTACATAGAGATGTAAGTGACTAGTCAACTATCCCACAAGCCTATGCTTCTCAGAGAGTTGAATAGTGACTTAACCAGTTGCTTCCCCCCTCTGCTGCCTCTATCCAAGGGTATATCTACACTACCCTCCTATTGCGAAGTAGGAGGGTAATGTAGGCATACCGCACTTGCAAATGAAGCCCGGGATTTGAATTTCCCGGGCTTCATTTGCATAAACCGGGAACCGCCATTTTTAAATGCCGGCTAGTTCGAACCCAGAACTCACTTAAATGGGGCTTGTGTGTTGTGTAGTTTTGCCTTAATCTTTGTATACATGCTCATCAATGTGAAATAAGCTATTTGCATGTATATGCAACCACACTTATGTTGAGGCCCTTGGCATGTGCTGTGACTATCATTGTGGCCCGAGGCTTCCAAAGTTGAGTAGACCTCCTCTAAATAATTAAAGACTGGGAAAAGAAACTGTATACCAAATTAAGGAAACCTTTTTGGTGAATAATTTAGAAAAATCCCAGACCATCTTTAGGGCTTTCTTCTGCACACATTCATGTACATATGAGCACAAGGTAGGGCTGCAAGCAACAAGCCCTAGGCTTATCGGGTAGTTGAGTCACTACTTGACTTGTTGCTTCCTCCCACCCTTGCTTCCTCTGTATCAGCGGGGGGCGAGGGGGAGCAGGAACTGGTGCTGGGAGGGCGGTGGCTTAAAGGCCAGTTCCCTCCCAGCACCATCTCTGTGGGAGGGCGGGCAGGGGAGGCAAAGGCATAGCAGAGGACAGAGCACAAGTCAGGAATCAGCGGATTCCCGGCTCACGCCCAGTCTCCCCTGCTGCGCTTCAGCCTTTTAAATGTATTAAGAGCCTAGTGGAGTGCAGCCCCTGGCTGGGGGGCAGGGCTGGAAGTTGGGCAGTTTTTGGCTGGTATCATGGAGGAAGCAGCCTAAGCAAGGGGCTGGGATTTAGGGGCCCAGTCTCCCTCATCTCAAGGGGGGCTGAGGCATCCTAGGCCTGCCCTGTAACCAGATTACATCTGTGCTGTATCCTGGAGAAGCAAACTCCCTCTATTCTACTGGCTGGTGGAGTCTGTTCGTGCCATTACAGGGGTGCAGGAGTCGGGGGAACCCCGATGCGCCGTCCCCACCACTGATTTTTCCGTGGGTCCGTGGCCCCTGCTCTAGGGCCACATGCGGCCGGGGTAACCAAATCATCATGGGGAACGGAAAGAGCAGCATAACCTTCTCAGCCCCCCAGTGCTGAGCTCTGCCCCCCACTTCTCAGCTGGGGCTTGCCACCTGGGGCTTCATGTCACTAAGCCACACTGAGAACTGAGCCTGTAGTAGGGATGTGAAAGTGTAACCGGGCACACGCTTAACCAAAGAGCCTGGGCTCATCCATTAGCCTTCATGGTTACACGTTGGTCCCCAGGGAGCTGCCTGCCCCCAACTCCCCCCCCCCCCGCTGCTTCTGTATCAGAGACAGCAGGGCAGTGGGGGCAGACAGGACCCGGTATATGTGGGAGCTGGCTTAAAAACTGGCTCCCTGTGCACACCGGCTCCCGGGGAGCCGACCGGCTCCAGCGTGTAACCACTGACATTTTCAGCCCTTACACGATTACTTAATGAAACGCATTTCAACATCCCGAGTCAATCCTGAATTGGACGGCTCAGAAATAAGCTACTGCTGAGTGCTCCGAGCACCGGGACGAGTGGAGAAACATTTCCTTAAGCACGCCGCATTCCTCACTCCGGCAGAACGACTCCTGGGAGAATCCGGTCTGAGTCGAGCCAGGCCTACTATTACCCATGCTCCATTATCCTCCCTTCCTCCCTGGAGGTCACCACCTCAATTCTCAGCCGGCCGAGGAATCTCGAGGCCTCACCTGATGACAGATGCGTGATGGCCTCCCTTTTCCCACCAGCTCCCGGAGGCTTCTTTTTTAGCTCATCCTTGCTGCTGGAGCCCTCGAGTTTCTTGGCTCGATGGGCCTTTGCTTTGTCCTCCGCTTTTGCCAGGCCTGTAGAAGGAGAGGGGCCTTTATTAAAGACGCACCCTATAAACAGAGGCCTTAGATCATAAGATCAGCCAGACTGGGTCAGACCAAAGCCCCATGTCCTCTCTGCCCACAGTGGCCAATGCCAGGTGCACCAGAGGGAGTGAACACAACAGGGAATCCTCACGTACTCCCTCCCCTGTCACCCATTCCCAACCGCTGACAAACAGAGTCTAGGGACACCATCCCTGCCCACCCTTAAGACAATGATTTGATGGATGCTCTTCCGGTGAGTGTTAACTAACTGATAACCAGCGACTAGGCAAAACTCCTGCAGTTCTTCGGCACGATGGCTCCTGAAATCAACAGCCGACTTGCCGAAGCCACAACCGCAGGGTTTGACCCAGGACGATGCTACGCAGAATCCCAGATGCACCCAGGGGTTTGCCAACAGAAAGACCGACCCTTTTTCCTGCCCTGCGCTGTTTACAGCTTGAGAAATTCCACGCCAAGCCAGAGCTCAGGACAACACTCCAGCTAAGGGAGGCAGAAGATTTCCGCGGGATGCCTGATGGTGGAATTTCAGAGAGGTTTTGCTAATGAGACCTGGGCAGGGCTGTTTCCGCTAAGAGACGAGTGCAGTTCACAGCTTTTGGGAGCGGCTCGAATGAGAATCCAGGGTTCCTACTATTAAATAGCGGTTCTGGGATCTCATGCGGGACCTTTCCTTCCCGTAGCCTTAAAACATTTGCCGCTGTGAATCCCGAGACTCCACTGAACACGCGGTGGTGTCAGATTGCACATCACTGCCTGGGGACAGGAGAGCAGAGGGGAGGGCTCTGTAAGCATGAGTGCCAGGCACACACGGGGAGAGAAACCCCTGGGGAAAGCAGGCTGCTGCCGCCTGCACTACCAAGCGCGCTGCCACATTGCTAAGCCTGACTGCAACGGCAAACCAATTAGTTCTTGGTGGAAAAGGGATTAGCAGGGAGAATTATACACACGCAGCATGACCGGCACGCCGTCTGGCTTCCCTCCCAAGTAGGGCTTTGCGTCTGCTCTCCCACCTAGAATCACAGAACTGGAAGAGACCTTAGAAGGCCATCAAGTCCAGCCCCCTGCCCAAGGCAGGACCAATCCCAACTAAATCAACTCAGCCAGGGCTTTGTCAAGCCAGGACTTAAACACCTCTAAGGATGGAGACTCCACTACTTCCCTAGGGAACCCATTCCAGTGCTTCACCACCCGCCTAGTGAAACAGTTTTTCCTACTATCCAACCTGGACCTCTCCCACCACAACTCGAGACCATTGTTCCTTGTTCTGCCATCTGTCACTACCGAAAACAGCCTCTCTCCATCCTCTTTGGAACCTCCCTTCAGGAAGTTGAAGGCTGCTCTCAAATCCCCCCTCACTCTTCTCTTCTGCAGATTAAATAGACCCAACTCCCTCAGCCTCTCCTCGTAGGTCATATGCTCCAGCCCCTTCATCATTTTGGTTCCCCTCCGCTGGACCCTCTCCAATTCATCCACATCATTCCTGTAATTGGGGGCCCAGAACTGGACACAATACTCCAGATGTGGCCTCACCAGAGCTGAGTAAAGAGGAATAATCACATCTCTGGATCAACTAGCAATGCTCCTCTTAATGCGACCTAGTATGCCATTAGCTTTCTTGGCTACAGGGGCACACTGTTGACTCATATCCAGCTTCTCATCCACTGTAACCCCGAGGTCCTTTTCTGCAGAACTGCTACTTAACTGGTTGGTCCCCAGCCTGTAACAATGCTTGGGATTCTTCCGTCCCAAGTGCAGGACTCTACACTTGTCCTTGTTGAACCTCATCAGATTTCTTGTGGTCCAATCCTCCAATTTGTCTAAGTCATTCTGGACTCTATCCCTTCTCTACAGTGTGTCTACCTCTCCCCCTAGCTTAGTGTCAGCTGCAAACTTGCTGAAGGGTGCAATTCATCCCTTCATCCAGGTCATTAATAAAGATGTTGAACAAAACTGGTCCCAGAACTGAACCTTGGGGCGCTCCTTATCTGTGCATCTTGCTCCATGCTTGGAACACGCAGTTACTCGCACTTCACTCTGGACCCCCAAGACATCCTTTTTATGGGATTCTTTTTTACCATGATCAACCAAGGAAAGGGGCCAGGATCACAGCTCCCCCTATGTACCGTACAGTGCCAGAGGAACACGCAGAAGGCCAGCAAATAAATTGTAAGAGTAGCAGCCCTGAGGCCTCTCTGCTCTGCACAGGCAAAAACCCCACACTGGGCACGGGCAGTTAACAAGCAGGCTACCCACCGGTTCAGGTGAGAGATGGAAGCTACAGTTTTAAAGACCAACAAAGAGTCCTGTGGCACCTTAAACACCAAGGGTATGTCTACACTACCACCCTAGTTCGAACTAGGGTGGTTAATGTAGGCATTCGAAGTTGCAAATGAAGCCCAGGATTTAAATATCCCGGGCTTCATTTGCATCTTGCCGGGCGCCGCCGTTTTTAAATCCTCTTTAGTGCGGACTCCGTGCCCGCGGCTACACGCGGCACGGAGTTGGTAGTTCGAATTAGGCTTTCTAATTCCATGAGGAGTAACGGTAGTTCGAATTAGAAAGCCTAATTCGAACTACCAACTCCGTGCCGCGTGTAGCCGCGGGCACGGAGTCCGCACTAAAGAGGATTTAAAAACGGCGGCGCCCGGCAAGATGCAAATGAAGCCCGGGATATTTAAATCCTGGGCTTCATTTGCAACTTCGAATGCCTACATTAACCACCCTAGTTCGAACTAGGGTGGTAGTGTAGACATACCCTTGGTGTTTAAGGTGCCACAGGACTCTTTGTTGGTCTTTAAAACTGTAGCTTCCATCTCTCACCTGAACCGGTGGGTAGCCTGCTTGTTAACTGCCCGTGCCGGTCAGATGCATCTGAAAGAGTGGGTTTTCCCCATGAACGCGGATGCCCCCAGAAATCTGTTGGTCTTTAAGGCGCCGCAGGGGTGTGCGGATACAGACTCACACAGCGACCCCATCTGCAGTCAGATGTGACTCTCAGCCGGCGGGGAGAACAGAGGTTTAGGAATCGACAGGGACACAACATAGAACAGTCGTGTCAGTGCAAAAACGAGAAGCAGGCAGCACCATCCCTCTCTGGGACACACGAGCTCAGATCTAGGGCACTAGCCCTTCCCCTGCATCTCCAGCCAGCTGAGACTAACCCACGTGCCTAGCAGCCTGGTCCTCGCCCGACAGCCAGCTCCCTCCTCTGGCCTGCTTCCCAGGCAAAAGGTGCCCCCGGCCGCACCTTCTCCTGGGCTCAGCTTACAAAGGGCATCAGCCATTATGTTCATGCAGGCAGCTGGGGGAGCCACCATCTGTGGGAGCTGCACCTGAAATTCCCATCACTGCCTGGGCTTAGGAAAGAGGAGACTAAGAGGGGATAGGATAGAGGTCTATAAAATAATGATTGTTGTGGAAAAGGTGAATAAGGAAAAGTTATGTACTTATTTCCATAATATAAGAACTAGGGATCACCCAATGAAATGAATAAGCAGGAGGTTTAAAACAAACAAAAGCAAGTTTTCCTTCATGCAGCGCACAGTCAACCTGTGGAACTCCTTGCCAGAGGATGTGGCGAAGGCTAGGACTTTAACAGGGTTCAAAAAAGAGCTAGATAGATTCATGGAGGTTAGGTCCAGCAATACTTATTGTCCAGGATGGGTAGGAATGGAGTCCCTGGCCTCTGTTTGTCTAGAAATGGGTGACAGGGGAGGGATCACATGAGGATTTCCTGTTGTGTTTCCTCCCTCTGGGGCACCTGGCACTGGCCACTTTCAGCATACAGGATATTGGGCTGGATGGACCTTTGGGCTGACCCAGTCGGGCTGCTTTTATGTTCTTTCTGTAGTCAGCCATCTCCCCTTACTTTTCTGCCCCACTTTTATGGCCCTGTGGGTTGCTAGGCAGTTGCTGTCTGACCCAGTCTGGCTGTTCTTATGAAACTGAGGCTCACACATTAGGTTACTATAGGACAGTAGAACTCCCATGCAACATAACAAGGGGAATAAAATCCCCACTTCATCGCAGTGCCACGCGTACACAAATGATGCCTCTGGACAAATGGTGCCCCAGGTAAAGGAAGGCGCCCAGAGATCTGCTTTCATAGGACCCTGCTGCGAGATGAACCACAGGAGCAGGCAGGTGGGCAGAGCAGGAAGCTCTAGGCTCTGGAATTGCAACTGGGCTGCCCCGCACGTTACCTTTCAGTCCAAAGGTCCCCGAGATGGATGGCTGCTCCCCAGTAAATTTCTTAGGCGTTTTCTGTTTCCTTCCTGACTCGAGAGAGAGAAAACAAGAGATAAAAACGTGGTCAAATAACTGCGCTGCGAGTGAGGATTTCAGTACGCAGGGGGCAAAAGGAACCTGGGTGAACTCCGGCTCGGGAGCTGAGCAGTAAGGGAACCGACCTCCTTTTACCCTGCAAAACACCCCTTCGGGGCCGTGAGGGCCCTGAAATGAAGCCCTTACGGATGGGCCCCTCAAGGTGCCCGCCGCCTCGTCTAGCACTAGCACTGCATCAGAGATACTGTCCTTTCCAGATTCCACAGCAGCCAAAACGCCTGCCACGCCACCCTGGTGTTACGCCTCATCCGCGGGGGGCAGAGCCGAGTGCTGAAGGCGGTGGAACAATCTAGCACCCACCCACAGTTTCTTGGCAGGGATGGTCTCTTTGTCCCATGGCTCAGGAATGACTCCACAGAGCAGGAACGGGACTCCACTTTCCACCCCCTCCGCGGTCACCACCCAGATCAGCCTCACGCACTCTCCCTCGGACCGCCCGCTCTGTGGGCATGGCTTGGATTTCTGACCGTGGCGGAGGCCGGCAGGGGGCTGTGCAACGTGGCTGTGTCCTGCAGGCCACAGGCGCGAGTGTGAATGGAGAGCGATGCATTTGCATTTAATGGCACCTCGCGGTACTGGAAACCAAGGGTTGCTCTACTCTCTGCTCTGCGACACCCCTGCTCCAGCCTCTGGAGCCAACCCAGCCCCGGGCTCTACGCTTACTGTGCTTCATCCTCTCTGGGTCCTCCTCCTGGTGGGGAGCCTGCGTGCCCCCTTGCGGCTTGGGAACCTTGCCGCTTGAAGCCTTGGCCGGCGGGTTAGCTGCTGCCACCGCCGCCGCGAGCTGGAACCCTTTGTTCTCCCGGCTCCTCGCCAGGCACTCTCCGTTCTCGGGGAGCTCCCGGCCAGCTGTCTTCTCCACCTTTGCCTGTTTGGGATGGATGGTGTGGGAGTCTGAACTCTCAGCAACTCTAGGGCAAAGCATAGAGGACTCGTTGAACGCAGAGTCAAGAACCCAACGCCGTGACGCCTCTTCCAACCCGGGGCCCTACAAGGGCGGCCCAAGAGTGGCCGCTGGGAAGGGAATTGGGGGGGGGGTCCCCTCCTTTCTTCCCGGCCTTCCCCGGCCCGCTGGCGAGCAGCGAAACCACGCGCTGCTGGTACCTTTTCTTGCCGCTGGCCTTGCCAATGCGTTTCTGCCCTTTGTTTTCTGCTTTGCTGGTGGGCAGCGGCCTGTCCAAGTGGTTCCAGAGCCGGTGCTTTTCCAGTTGGGTTTTGGATGTGAAGGCCGCTTCGCAGTAGGGGCAAGGGTAAGTCAACTTCTCCGAGATGGCCCCCTGCAAGAGAGCAGAGACATGGGAGGGGGAAAAGACCTGCTCTTCCCCTGCACGTGCAGGGTCCTGCCTGCAAATCCGCATGGCCAAGACTGGTCAGGAGAAAGATCCCTCTCCACGTGCGAACGCCACCAGCCACACGCCACGGCAGCGGCGCTTTTCTAAAGCAAAGAAGGGCGGCAGGTTGCTCCCCGTGGTAGGAAATTCCAGCCGGCATTTTCAGCTGAGCGGCCCCTCCCCCGGTGCGTCAAAAGGGAAATCGAGCCGATCCAGCGTGGGGAGGAAAACGGAACCACGCCTTTCATTTAAGAACGGCGCGACCGAGAGCCGACTGCTGCAAGCACAGATCCGGCATCTGCCCATGCACGGGCTACTGCACAGCTGGAGTTCTGCGCCCAATCCAGAGGGCAGCTTTTTGAGGGGCGGGGGATGGGGGAGGAGCTTATTTTGAGTTGCAGCTTTGAAGGGGAGGCGAATCCTGCTGGGTGATTTCCTTCCCCGTTCGGTTTTCCCTCCCTCGGTACATGCAATCCGGGCTCCCCGTCGATGGACTATTTAGGCAAAGCCCTGCCGAGGAGCCGGCGCGCTCAGCCTTGCTTTGGCGTTGGGATGGGGACCAGGAGAAGTGGGGGGTGGTTCTCAGTCAGTCCTTCCCGGGGCGATGGGAATCCAGAGGACGAGGGGCAGGGCTGCCCGAGGAAGGATTCGGCTGGGCTAAGGACAGAGCTGCCCACAGCTCTGGGATGACACAGAGCTGTCAAGGGGCAACTGCCCTAGGGCCTGTCTAGTCAAAGCAGCTTGGGGCTCCTGGCTACCGTTGCTGTTACTACGACAACAGGCACCCCGGGCCTTTTAAATCGCCACCGGAGCCCTGCACCGTGTGCTCTGGGCAGCTCTGAAGGCTGGGGGAGGGGTGCCGCAGCCTCCGAGCGCGGAGAGCTGGCTGCCTCTGGCCCCACCCCTTCCACCTGAGGCCCCACCCCTTGCAGGGGTACAGAACTGCCCCCCTCCCCTTTGCCCAGGAGCCCGTGGAAGCTGTCAGCAGTCCTGGCTGCCCCTCTGCACTGCGAGACCTAGGCGGACAAGGGGCATGTCAGCGGATGCAGCATGAATCCGGCCTGCAGGATAGGAGGGGTTGGAGTTTCCATTAAAGAGACTGTGGGGCGAACCCCCCAGGCCCTGTTGAAAGCACTGACAAAACTCCCAGTGATCCCAGCAGAGGCAGGATTTCACCCCCCAGATCCACCAGGCAGTGCCAAGACTCGCAGACTTAGATCTGCCTCTTTATACACAAAGGTCCGTCCTAGTCCAGAGCAGTCAGAACCCAGGGCACTGCCTCCCGATTCCTCAGTCGGACAGTCACACAGGGCAGCAGAGGGCTCCGGCCTGGCCCCTGCATCCCATCTCCCACCTCCATGAGCCACAGAGGGCCTCAGGTTGAGCAGAACCAACGCAGCCCCTGGGCACAGGTGGGGGAAGGCAGCACGCCAGGGCTCCTTGTGCCCCAGCAGAGATGCACTGAGGGCTCAGGCGCGAATGCACAGCACTCCAGATCCACAGGCCAGCAGTGCAGCGGCCTAAGGAGTTTCTGGAGCCCTCGGGCAGGAATACAAGCCACAGAGCGGCTGCCTTCCCTCACACGGCCCCAGCACACGGTCCAGTCACTGGGGCTAAGTTCCCTGCCGACGGGCACTTATCCAAAGCCTTGCACATGATCACGCAAAATTCCTCCACTCGCACAATCTGACCTGAAGAGAGCTGGAGGGGCCAATACATTCAACAACCCCATTTCAGGGAGTGTGTATCCCCTACTTCAAAAAGCTCTCGGCACGTCTTTGGAGCTACCCACGCCGTGGCAGGAAAAACAAACCTACCCCCCTGCGTACGGCCCACGCCACCTCTTAATGAACGACAGACCAGCAGCTATTAGAGACTGAAATAAACAGCAACTGCCTAGCAACCCACAGGGCCATAGAAGGGGGGCAGAAAAGTAAGGGGAGATGGCTGACTACAGAAAGAACATAAAAGCAGCCCGACTGGGTCAGCCCAAAGGGCCATCAAGCCCAGTGTCCTGTCTGCCCACAGTGGCCAATGCCAAATGCCCCAGAGGGAGAGAACACAGCAGAAAATCATCGAGTGATCCCTCCCCTGTGACCCATTCCCAGCCCCTGACAATCAGAGGCTAGGGACACCATCTCTGCCCATCCTGGTTAAAAGCCATTGATGGACCTATCCGGTAGTTCTTTTTTGAATCCTGTTAAAGTCCTGACCTTCACAACAGCCTCTGGCGAGGAGTTCCACAGATCGACTGTGCGCTGCATGAAGAAAAACTTCTTTTTGGTTGTTTTAAACCTGCTGCCTATTAATTTCATTTGGTGAGCCCTACTTCTTATGTTATGGGACAATAACTTTTCCTTATTCACTTTCTCCAGACCTGTCATGATTTTATAGACCTCTATCCTATCCCCCCTTAAACCCCTCTTTTCTAAGCTGAAAAGGCACATCTTTTTAATCTCTCTTCATATGAGACCCGTTCCAAACCCCTCATCATTTTTGTTGCCTTTTCCTGACCCTTCTCCAATGCCAAGATATCTTTTTGGAGATGAAGCGACCACACCTGTACAGAGTATTCAAGATGAGGGTGTACCATGAATTTATACAAAGGCATACGAACATAAGAACAGCCAGACTGGGTCAGACCAAAGGTCCATCCAGCCCAGTACCCTGTCTGCCGACAGTGGCCAGCACCAGGTGCCCCAGAGGGAGTGAATCGAACAGGTAATGATCAAACGATCTCTCTCCTGCTATCCGTCTCCACCCTCTGACAAACAGAGGCTAGGGACACCATTCCTTATCAATTCTGGCTAATAGCCATTAATGGACATAACCTCCAGGAATTTATTTAGTTCTCTTTTAAACCCTGTTATAGTCCAACTCTTCACAACCTCCTCAGGCAAGGAGTTCCACAGATTGACTATGCGCTGTATGAAGAAGAATTTCCTTTTATTTGTTTTAAACCTGTTGCCCACTGGTTTCATTTGGTGGCCCCTAATTCTTATATTATGGGACCAAGTAAATAACTTTTCCTTATTCACTTTCTCCAGACCTGTCATGATTTTATAGACCTCTATCCTATCCCCCCTTAAACCCCTCTTTTCTAAGCTGAAAAGTCACATCTTTTTAATCTCTCTTCATATGAGACCCGTTCCAAACCCCTCATCATTTTTGTTGCCTTTTCCTGACCCTTCTCCAATGCCAAGATATCTTTTTGGAGATGAAGCGACCACACCTGTACAGAGTATTCAAGATGAGGGTGTACCATGAATTTATACAAAGGCATACGAACATAAGAACAGCCAGACTGGGTCAGACCAAAGGTCCATCCAGCCCAGTACCCTGTCTGCCGACAGTGGCCAGCACCAGGTGCCCCAGAGGGAGTGAATCGAACAGGTAATGATCAAACGATCTCTCTCCTGCTATCCGTCTCCACCCTCTGACAAACAGAGGCTAGGGACACCATTCCTTATCAATTCTGGCTAATAGCCATTAATGGACATAACCTCCAGGAATTTATTTAGTTCTCTTTTAAACCCTGTTATAGTCCAACTCTTCACAACCTCCTCAGGCAAGGAGTTCCACAGATTGACTATGCGCTGTATGAAGAAGAATTTCCTTTTATTTGTTTTAAACCTGTTGCCCACTGGTTTCATTTGGTGGCCCCTAATTCTTATATTATGGGACCAAGTAACCTCCCTGTTTACCCCGTTCTCCAGATCATTTATGAATAAGTTAAATAGGATTGGTCCTAGGACTGACCCTTGGGGAATACCACTAGTTATCCCCTCTCCATTCTGAAAATTTACCTTACCCTTTGTTTCCTCTATTTTAACCAGTTCTCAGTCCATGAAAGGATCTTCCCTCTTATCCCATGACAACTTAATTTACCTAAGAGCCTTTGGTGAGGGACCTTGTCAAAGGCTTTCTGGAAATCTAAGTACACTATATCTACTGGATCCCCCTTGTTCACATATTTGTTGACCCCTTCAAAGAATTCTAATAGATTAATAAGACATGATTTCCCTTTACAGAAACCATGTTGACTTTTGCCCCACAAATTATGTTCTTCTGTGTTCTTTTTAAAGATTAGGCATTTTCCAGTCATTGGGTTCAGAAGCTGATTTAAAGGACAGGTTACAAACCATAGTTCCTCAATTTCCCACTGGGGGAGATTGGGGGCTGTGGGCCTAGAGGGGAGGATGGGGGGTGGAGAAAGGGGAGAGGGAAGCCGTGCTGGTGGGCGGGGGGCGTCCAGGGGGCCCTGCAGCCGCTTGCCACCACGGAGCGAGGGGAAGGGGGGCGGGGCGCTGACGTACACGGCCAGGGAGCATGGCCATGTACATCAGCATTACAGACGCACAGACACTAGGCTACTATATATATGATTTTTACACTTTTTTTTTTTTACACTTAATTTGTAAAATTAAGGCAATAAGAGAGTCTCCGTCCCTTTTTTTCTGCAGAGACATCACGGCTCAGTTTTTGCTGCCTTTGAATCTCAATAAATTAGCCTGTTTGGGGCCAGCCCACAAATTCCGCCCAATCCCAAGTGCTTAGAAAAAAATGCGGGGAGGGGAGGAACACTCTGGCAAAGGTGGGGTTTGAATAATTAACAAAGGAAAAGACACAACCATGTTTCCTCCTCTAGCCTTTTTCAGGTGGTGAGGCTGCCCAGGGCAGGGGAATTTGCCTCCTTGTTTGCAAAGTGCCTGGAACAAACGGAGTTCTACTGTCACATACTGATCCAGAGATGTCATTATTCCCCTTTATTTGGCTTTGGTGAGGCCACATCTGGACGTTTGTGTCCCGTTCTGGGCCCCCCACTACAAAAAGGATGTGGACACATTGGAGAGGGTCCAGCGGAGGGCAACCCAAATGATTAGGGGGCTGGAGCATATGACCTATGAGGAGAGGCTGAGGGACTTGGGTCTGTTTAGTTTGCAGAAGCGAAGAGTGAGGGGGGATTTGAGAGCAGCCTTCAACTTCCTGAAGGGGGGTTCCAAAGAGGATGGAGAGAGGCGGTTCTCAGTAGTGACAGATGGCAGAACAAGGAGCAATGGGCTCAAGTTGTGGTGGGAGAGGGCCAGGTTAGATATTAGGAAAAACTATTTCACTAGGAGGGTGGTGAAGCACTGGAATGGGTTACCTAGGGGAGTAGTGGAGTCTCCATCCCTAGAGGTGTTTAAGTCTTGGCTTGACAAAGCCCTGGACGGATTGATTTAGTTGGGATTGGTCCTGCCTAGAGCAGGGGGCTGGACTTCTGAGGTCTCTTCCGGTTCTATGATTCTATGATAAACAACTAATAACCCCCCATCTATCATCTGCAAGGAACCACCTTCATATCGCACAGGTGCTATCCATACTCAGGAGATTCCCTCTCACACACTGCCCCAAAAGCACATTCACTTTGCCCTCTGTCCCCCCTCCCTCCTGGGGTGCCTGTGGGTAACCTGGTTTTCTTTTTAGGGGGGAGGTCGCATAAGCCGGGTGAGCCATTTCCTTTTGCAATATGGTAACTCAACCTGGAGTTCTGTACAGGCACAACCGTATGGGGTGTCCCGGACAGTCGCACACAGACAGCCTGCACAAAAAGACAACTGCAGACAAAATTAGCACCTTCCTGGATAAGGAAGAGCCAAATTAAATGGAGTTTGTGTTTCCTTTTTAAACAGCTTAGTCGCTTGAACGAAGTAGAAGTGGGTGTTGATATCTCCCCTCCCTCCCCCAAGCTCACCCGGTGGTTCCACTGGGACGTTTTGCTTTTTGTAATTGTTTAAAAGCTCCAGCCTGTTTCGACTGTCAATGCTGGATGGTCATGTCACTGCCTGCCTTGAGCGCAGGGGACTGGAGTAGATAAACAGCTAAGGTCCCATCCAGTTCTGCATGTCTATGATGGACACGAACCCCACTAGGCATTTTGTGACCTCTCCATTGATTCTCCAGGAATATTCAAAGGAGTCAATATTGTGAGGCGCAAGGGAGGAAGGGAAAGGGGTTGAGTGTGGGTCAGGCTTAGCCAACATGTGCTAACCTTGCCAGAATGGGAGGGTTTTTTCTAGTGACGATGCAAGGGCAGAGGTGCTAGAACAATTCACATAGTGGGGCTGCTGAAAGCCACTAAACTAAACTATAAACCAGGGGTCTCAAACTCTCAGCCGGAGCAATTGTGCAACCTAGCTCAGGAATCCATCGGGGGGAGGGGCTTTCTGTTCCTGTCCCCCAAGCCCCGCCCCTTCCCATTTCCACTTTCTCCCTCCCATGGCACCCTGTCCCCTGAAGACAAGGCTTTGGGAATTTCCGGGCGGGGAGGCAGCAACGCTCAGTCCCTCCGCCCTTCCCCTCCCCATTCCCTGCAGCAGTGGGAGCCGTGGGGAAGCAGAATGAAGTGAAGCGAGTGCGGTGCTGGGGAGGGGAGAGCTGATTGCTGCTGCTGTCCCGTACCTCAGCGCTGGCGGGCAGTAGGGAGGGGAAGAGGCGTTTCAAAATGGAACCGCGTCACCGCTAACGATCCGGGCTCTGCAGCATGAAACTGAAATAAGCGCCTGGGGAGGAGGCTTTGCAGCGGGCTCTGTAGCCAGCTCCCTGGGAGCGGGGCTGGCAGCCCCTGTCAGCCTTACTCCCAGGGAGCCACCATGTAACCTGTGGGGGGAGCAGCCCCTACCTATGGTGGGCCCTGCAGGGATAGAGCAGCCCCCTGCCCAGGGCGGACAGGGACGATGCTCCAGCCCCTACCAGTTAGCCAATTAACCGGTTAACCATTATCATCGCTAGTGGGCATGAAAGCACCAGCATATGGGACGTCATGTCACCACATGGAAAGCAACTGGGGGAAATCCACTGCCAGAGCTGAGGGAGCCTGTGTTGGCGGGGGGAGGGGAGAGGTGCAGTAGGTCCACAGAAGTATTGAGAGATGGGGCCGGCAGTGCAGCTCCACACCCTTGCAGCCAGCGGCCCGATGTCAGGATGGCACTGCCCACGAGGGGGCGGTGATAGAAATGATGCGGATAAGACACTGACTCAGTGGGAAGGTGCCTGCAGTACCCAGGAAGAGCCAGGCGGTTTAGCTCTCGTGCTGAGAAATCCTCCATACGCAGGGAGCGAAGGGGCGCCCCGACCATTCGACACACACACGACCCGACCACTGCAACGAACCACAACCCGCAGTTCTCCTTACCCCTCGGCAGCGCTGAAAATGGTACTTCAGGCCATAAATACTGGGGAACTCCAGCCAGCAGCCTGAGTTGGGGCACTTCACCCTGGAGTGGGCCTTGAATTCATCTTTCCACCGGTTCATCAGGGGAAGCTGAGAAAGGGAGACACGGTGGCAGGCGGCTGAACAAACACCTTCCCGCAGCCCGCGAACGCGACGCACTGGGGCAAGGATTTCAGAAGGGCCGGGACAACGTTTGCAGTCTCAGAGTGGAGTCAACATGCGTGCGCCTGCAAAATGAACTACAGGAGCCGACGCTCGCAACTAGCTCTGTCACGACATGCTTTCTACCCTCCATCGGGCACGCCTCCTCAGACGGGTGCACCTGCTTTCACAGGGAAGCCATCCTGCAGTCCCAAGCTGCACCCGCACGAGGGAATCGGCCCCACTCACACTGGGGTTCCCTGGTGACTAACATGCACGCTAACTCAGCCCCATCAATCATAACAAAAGTCACCACCGTGATTTAACTACCCCACATTGCACAGGCTGCTCCATGTACCATCCAGGCCAGAAAGCTCAAGTTCAACAGTACAATTCCCCAGGGAAGAACTCCCACCTTCCTAGGTGCCGTCCGATAATTAAACCCGCCCCGACACACCCACGGTGAATAAACCACATCTCTCATCCACCTCATGGAAAACACTAGCTTGACACGTAAAAGTGACTTGTGAGGCTGAGCGTCCAGCTGGAGGCACCACGCAGAAGCCACAGAGAAAGCGCAGAGTACCTGCCCGCTGAAAAGCAGGGGTCTCAACCCGCCCATCACGTCTGGGAGTCTGGGCTACATTTATTTTTCATGTTATGCCAATGGACAATTCCAGCCCCATCCAACCAAGGCCTGTCCCTATTGGCCGCTCGAGTGAAGAAACTTCATGATGGACCATGCCAGTTAGCCATACTTTATACATAATGCCCATACCCAATCCACAGCCCACATCATCCAATAGCCCATGGCGCTCTCCTAAGCGCATCACGCTTTGCCTCCCAGACGTGCATGCAGTCCCAGCCTCATTAGCACAAGCAACAGCAGGTCGAGCCTGAGCAAAACCACTTCCATGAGGGCAGCTTGAGGGCTGACCTCTGTGTGCGTCTATATCCCTTTTGCCCAGGCAATTGCACGCACAGACACAGGCGTTTTTGAAGTCAGCATCCCGGGGACCTGCTCCAGAGGGGTGCTGAGCCCAAAGGGCACTTGGACTCACCGGGCACTGTCCACGGTCAAAGCGCGTTAGCGACTTCCCACCTAGCTCGGCGGGTTGCTGGAAGGACTTGGCCTGGTGCTAACCCAGGCAGCAAAGCAGCCATTGGAAGGGAGTGCTGTTTGGGATGCGGCTGGTTGTGGTAGCTCCCTGTCTCTCCGGCAGACGCCCACTGGCTGGTACAGCAGCGCCCTCAAATTCCATCACATTAACGGAATTAACACCCACCGGGGCCTACCCCATCTCAGAGCACGGGGGGTTGGGTTTTTTTACTAGCTCCTTAGCAGAGGAGCTGAGCGGCATGAGGAAGGAGAGAATTGCAGAGAGAGACGGGGAGAAGTCAAGGCACAGATGGATTTGGATTCTTACAGGAATGTCTTTCAGCACCTGGTTTTCCGCCTTGGGCCGCCCTTTCTTCTTGCCTTCTGCTTTGTCGCTGGTTGCGTTTCCTGCAAACAAACACAGAACATAAGGCCTGCAGCTCTCCAGCTAGCACTCGGAAACCTTGATTTCTGACCTTGCACTGCAGTCCTCCTGCCTATTATCCGGCAGGGATAGCCCAGCCTCTCCCAAACCTCCTCCCACCCTGTGCCGTGACTGTCCCAAATTCTTGCCACCACAATTCAGCAGGGTTAGAGTCAAACTCTGAGCAGGCCAGCAGCCAATCCCCAGGGAACTTCAAAATGCTTAGCTGGGCTAGATCTGCTCCGATTTAACCCAGAGGTGAGGAACCTTATTTAGGTCAGGGGCCACTGACGCACAGAAAATCAGTGGGGGAGGCCGCACAAAAATGAGAAAAAGAAAAAAAAAAGCCAAATAACCCTCACTGACATGGGAGAGGGCTGCCGGGAAGCAGGCTTGGGGTGCGGGATGTGGGAGGGAGGGTGCAGGATCAGGTTGGGGGGCTCTGGTTCCCTGATGCTGGGGAGGAAGCCCCATGCCTCAGGGGCCAGATCCAGGCAAGCTGGGGCCACATCTGGTCCTCCGGCCACAGATTCCCTACCCCTCTGTTTAACCCATCGGCTTCCGCAGGAGCAGAACGCGGCCAAAGCCGGGCGCTCCAGAAATCCAGGCCCAACTCATCCTTTTCTCTTTGTCTTCAACAACAAACAGGCGTGGGCTGGAAAAAGGAAACAAACCCTGATGCCCAGTGAAGACAACCATGAGCAAAGATCCCGCCACAATGGTCTCCTAGCAACGGGCAGCCATGGGCCCATGGCGGATGTGCTTAAAATGGAAGCGTTGCGGCCGAGAGCTAGGCGTCGATGGCATGGTTGGAGGAGATTGAGGACTTATGGCCATGGAGCTGGTCGTGAGGGGCTGCAGCGACTGGAGGGGAGCCAGGAAGGAAGAAGAGATGGTGGAGAAAAAGGGTGGGGCCTAATGAGAGGTCTTCATCCATCTTTGTGAAGTGGCTTTTGGGGGGTCAC